AACTCCTGAAAGTGGATTTTCTGGGTTACAGGGCATGAGTATTTTTGTGGCTACACAATTTATGGTCTCATAATGAATGTAAGAGGGTACTTGTTTTCCCACACCCTTGACAGGACTAAACTTGGAAAAACGTGGATTTGTCAGTCTCTCCGAAAATTAAAATGTTTGTCAATTTTATATGTTTAAAAATTTCATTGAAGAACAATTTCAATCCATTGGAAATAATTGTAGAAAAAGGAATTTGCTTTGTGTTGTATTTCAGTGACTGTTGGGTCTTTTTTTTTTTTTTTGTATTAATATTCCTGAGTTGAAGTAAAAGTGTTCATTAATGCTTTACCTTGTGGGCTTAACAGTGAAGTGTGATACAAGGAAAAAGGGGTGGTGGAAAAGATTTAAAAAAAAAATGTAACAGGGCCGGGCGCGGTGGCTCAAGCCTGTAATCCCAGCACTTTGGGAGGCCGAGGCGGGTGGATCACGAGGTCAAGAGATCGAGACCATCCTGGTCAACATGGTGAAACCCCGTCTCTACTAAAAATACAAAAAATTAGCTGGGCATGGAGGCGCGTGCCTGTAATCCCAGCTACTCAGGAGGCTGAGGCAGGAGAATTGCCTGAACCTAGGAGGCGGAGGTTGTGGTGAGCCGAGATCGCGCCATTGCACTCCAGCCTGGGTAACAAGAGTGAAACTCTGTTTCAAAAAAAAAAAAAAATGTAACAGATTGGTTGTGATGGCTCACACCTGTAATCCCAACACCTTGGGAGGCCGAGGTGGGCAGATCACCCAGCTGAGGTCAGGAGTTCGAGACCAGCCTGGCCAACATGGCAAAATCTCATCTCTACTAAAAATTAGCTGGATGTGGTGACACGAACCTGTAATCCTAGGTACCTTGGGAGGCTGAGGCAAGAGAATTGCTTGAACCTGGGAGGCAGAGGTTACAGTGAGCCAAGATCACGCCTCTGTACTCCAGCCTGGGTGACAGAGTAAGACTCCATGTCAAAAAAAAAAAAAAAAAAAGTAACATGATAAGAAATGAAGGCAAAAAGAACACACATGGGAAAGGAAAATGATGGGAAAGCAGATGGGCATAGACTCCGGCTGCCACACAGGCTCTTGCCTGAACTTGCCCCTTTGCTCGTATCATTGCCCTGTCTGATGTTTTCAGTTTACAAGTTGAGCAACTGCAGCTTCCTTTGTCATTAGAAGAGGAAATGAAAGAGCAAGGGTAAAAGAATTACTGGAGCCAGCACAGAATGTTTTTTGTTTCATTTGGGTTTTTTTTTTTTTTTTTGGCACCAGGCTTGTTTTGTTTTTTTAGAGGGAAAACCCATGTGTTGCAACTTGTTTGGTCACCAGGATTTTAGTCCTCTGACCTTCAGACGTTAGTCATTCCTGCCGGTTAAACAGTTCCCTCCCTAGTTTTGTACTGGCCCTTGGGTTAAACACAACATGGCCCTTCTAACCTCTCAGAAAAGCCTGAGAAATGAATTCAAATCTAATAAGCAGCATTTCTGAATGTTAAAATGTGTGTGAATTGGCTACATATTATTTTAATTTTTTTTTCTTTTTGCATTAAACATGTACACCACTCACTAACTGATATATATGTTATACATTTCGTTCTCTCAGGATCTTTCCTATTTAGTGAAATTCACTGAGCTAAAATGTAATGTTAAATACTTACAAGAGGCTTTGGTTATAAAATGACTGAAGAGGAATTTCTCCATAAATAGGTTTGGGTTTAGAAAATCTACAATAGCAGTGGCTACACCTAATGACCAGAAAATGACACAGCTCCTCCTCTTCATCTTCCTCCTCCTCGTCCTCTTCCTCTTCCTCCCCCTCCTCTTGTTCCTCTTCCCCTGCTAAGCCTGGCCCAAACCTGGAAGCCCCCAAAAGCCACGCCCTGGCGAGCAGAGGTCCAATAGACTCCCTTAGGGACTCTCGGTCCCTCAGCTACTCGCCTGTGGAGCGTTGCCGTCCTTCGCCCCAGCCCTCGCCAAGGGACCAGCAGAGCAGCGGCAGTGAGCGGGGTTCCTGGAGATGCCAGCGTGAGGACAGCCGCTCCCCCAGCCACAAGCACAGGAGGGAGAGCCTAGCCCTCGGCCCACGCGACACCGCTCCTCCAGGTCTCCATAAATCGTCTTTGGGGGATTCCACCACACTCCATGCTCTGGAGCCACGGGGAGTGTCCCCTCTTCCCCAGCAGAGCCGTGGGAGGGTCCTTGTCTGCCCCGCTTTGAGCCTTGGCAGCCCTTGGACAGAGGGCTCCCTTTCCCTCCCTTTTTTTTTTTTTTTTTGTTCCTGTGAAATGTTCATCTCTGTGAGTTTTTCCTGGTTCACATGTTCTGGGGGTTTTGGGGTGGGAGGGAATGCAGATGGGAGTTGGGGGAGGGGAGGATAACAGCTCAGGACACCCCAGCCTGGAGTCAGAAAGAGCCAGGGAGGTATGACCCTGCTTGGATCCAAAAGTTCCTGGGGTGATGGTGGTTTGGGACTGGAGGTTGTGTGCCATTTTCTTGGAAGGAAGGGGCAGAAATTGGAATTAATTGGTCCCTGCTTCCCCCCATGAGGTTGTGTACCCCGCCCCCCAACTTTTCACGTTTCTTAAAGGCATTTTGGTTTTTAAAAATCTGTACAGCAAGAGCAACTTTTTCTGTCAAATAAAAATGAGAAATGCAGGGAAAAAAATGTTTTCAAGCTTAGAGGCCATCATCCACTTTAAAAGTAAAGTTACATGGTTTTTATCTCACCATCTTACTTAAAAGTGATGCAGGTAACTTAAAAAGTGATTTGAAAACATTAACAGCACATAAAAACACATAATCCATAAAACACAACACCTAAAATATGATAGAAAATTATTTAATAGAGTAATTTTCAAAAGTAAATTGTAGTTATTCTTAACAGAAGACTAGAGTCTTTGCCACATTTTAAAAACAGGTAAGGTTAAAAAGAAAGAAAAATAACTAGAGTCCAGACCATACTAGACCAGAACTTTTTCAGCAAAATTGAAAACAGTTATTTAGCTGATTGTGAAAAGATAAATCCTATGCATCATGTCAGAAGTACACACATGATCGCCAGACAGGATGGCTCATGTCTGTAATCCCAGTGCTTTGGGAGGCTGAGGTGGGAGGATTGCTAGAGCCCAGGAGGGTGGCTTGAGACTGCAGTCAGCTGTGATTGTGCCACTGCACCCCAACCTGGGGCTCAGAGACCCTGTCTCAAAAAACAAAAACAAACAAACAAACCGCACAACAACAACAAGAAAGAAGTTCACCATCAACCAGTTTATTGATTTACCACCATTATCTTCTTGACCAAGTATCAAAATATTTTAAGCATGAATTCAGCTGTGACCCTTAATTCATTAATTAATTCATTTACTTTTAGAGATGGAATCTCACTATGTTGGCTAGGTTGGAGTGCAATGTCTATTCAAAGGCACAACTATAGTGCACTACAGCCTTGAACTCATGGGCTGTAGTGATCTTCCTACCTCAGCCTTTCAAGTAGCTGGCACCACAGGCTCACACCACCATACCCAGCAATTCATATATTTAGTGAATGTTTACTGGCACAGTGCAAGGCATTTGAAATATAGCCTGATTAAAACGTACATAACCCTTGCCTTTTTTGAGCTTGCAGTGTAGTAAAGGAGAAATAAAAGAAGCAAATAAATATTTAATTGTAAACTGGGATGAGGCATTAGAAGGAAAAGTCCGGGTTGCTAAAAAAGGCTGGTAAGTCTCTCAGAAGATTCAGAAGACTCTAAGATACCATGAGTCATGATCACTTGATTACTCAGAACTGCAGCATTTTGGTACAGTTGGTGGTATGTTAATATTTTCTTGTTCATATATGTGTCCTTGCATAACCTTTTAATGCCATGTTCTTTGGCCTTTAAGCCATGTTCTTTGGCCTTGAAAGCTCTGTGGTGAAGGGCTCTATCTTCCACTTCTTCCTACTTTTCAGGGTATAGCACAGGGTGCTGTAGGCAGAGGAACCTTAACTCATGCTCCTGACTTAATAAAGGACTATTTCTTTGAGTCTAATTGGTTGGGAAAGACCCCTTGCTTGGATTGCTTTGCCTAAGAATTTTGTATTCCTAGCATCTAAGAGTGGCTGACGGCCAGGCGCGGTGGCTCACACCTGTAATCCCAGCACTTTGGGAGGCTGAGGTGGGCAGATCATCTGAAGTCGGGAGTTTGAGACCAGCCTGGTCACATGGTGAAACGCTGTC